CGAGAAAGAATAAACTAGTTTTAATTAAGAAAGGACTTGTATTGCTGAAGGTCCTCTGAAAGAATTTATACCAGAAATTAACAAAGGACCAGATACGTAACACACCATTAGATGATGCGATTAGATGTTTTGAGAATAAATTAATAGAAAACAGAGTACCAACAGTTGAAATTATAGATATATTGAAATTAACAAGAGTATGTGTAAATAATCCATTTTTCCAAGTTCATCAAAATTATTATAAACAGAAAGAGGGTTTATATATTGGATCCCCCTTGTCACCATTGTTATGTGAACTTTATATGGATAGTTTTCAAATGAAGCTTTAAATAACGCTAAACATGGTGTGGTGACATGACAACAGCAAACTACAATAATGTTTTAGTTATTTAAATAGTAAAGAACCAACAATTCAATTCACATGTGAAATTAAAGTTAATAATAGCATTGATTTCTTAGACTTATTAGTTAGAAAGGAAGAAGGCAACTCAGAAATATCAGTTAATAGAAAACCTTTTGCTGTTGTTATGCCGCCACACAAAGAATCATGTCATATAAAAACCCAAAAAATATCAGCATTTTATACATATGTTTATAGAGCTTTAAAAATATATTCAAGACAGGAAGATTTAAATAACGAATTGTTATTAATTAAGTATACTAATCTATTGATAGAGGATTTGATCCAAATATAGTAGAGAAAGCATTTGAGAAGTTTAAGAAAAATGCTAATTCAGTTAAAAATACAACATTAAAATCTGTTTATGAAAAAAACAAAAAGAAACTAAGTTTACCTTACGTTCCAGATTTAACAAGTCAATTTTATAAAGTATTCAAAAAATATCAGAATTTTAACCCTATCTTCAAACCAATAAATAAGATAAAAGATATGACAGAGAATGCTAAAGACAGAATAGAATTAACAGATAAGACAGGTATATACGAGATAGAATGTGAATGTGGTAGTGTTTATATTGGTCAAACTAAAAGAATTTTAAAATATAGATTGCAAGAACACAATAGTTACATAAGAAATAATAAAACAGAAATGTCAGCTATAGCCGAACATGTAAAAACTACCAAAAAACAATATTATGGGAAAAGACTTTAGTTTTAGCCCAGCCTCGAAGTTTTATGTCATTAAATACTAGAGAAACATTAGAAATAATGAAATATAAAAAACAAAAAACAAGTATTAAATAGAGATGAAGGACCAGCAATTCAATACATTGATATATGGCGAGATACATTATTTTATTTTTATGGAAATATGTAAATAACAATGAAGTAATGCGACAAGGGGAAAA